GTTCCTTGTACCGTTTATTTCATTATTATTCGTATATGTAGTATCTTTTCCACTACAGACTTTCATTCTCTGCACGCTTACTTACCTGCACGCTTCTCTCTATGTTCTCCGGTTCATTCCAATACAACCGTCGTTGATGCTTCATGATACTAGTCGTTCTGTTTTGGCTCGTTATTTTATCCGTTGCTAGACGTACGAATTCGTGGATATCATTAGCATAGAGACTAAAGTAGCACACCAGAAAAGTAAGGGAGACCTCCAACGACTAAAGAACCTGGACCTTTTCCCCCTGGCCCGCAGACGACTGCGGGGCAACCTTGTCGAGACTTTCACGATTGTCATAGGGTTTCCGGGTCTAACGTTCAAAGACCTATTCTCGTTTGTTCCTGTCAGGAGCACGAAGGGGCATCAATTCAAGCTAGAAAGTAGTCACTGTAGGATAAATCTACGAGCTAGGTTCTTCACAAACACGGTTATACCACTATGGAATAAATTACTTGAAGCGGTGGTTAACTGTATTAGTGTCCCAACTTTTGAGAGAAAGCTAGACGAATGCTGGGTAGTAGTATTTCCCGAAGTTAAGTGTTGAAAGTTAATCTTTAGGCTTTACTTTCCGAAATATTGCAAGGGATCTGATATTGCACACTAACATTCTGCCTTTCAGGATACATTGTTGACTCGAAGTGTTGAAAGCCAACGGAACTGCCGACAACACAAGGAACTGTGCACGCCATTGACAAGAGCCACAATTCATCCGGTGAGAATTGAACTAAATGCTTTTAAAAGATTGTTGATTGTTTCACTGTTTTTTATTTGGAAAGGGAGTGTACTTCAAAATGTTTGACGTTATTTTTATTATCGTTCACTTAACTTTGCGCCTGGTTTGGAGGTTATTGTATATAGTAAATTTACTTCTGCTTTAAATGAATCATTGAAACTCGCAAATGACACGTAAGAAACATCGAAAAAGCATTCGTTGTGCCGTTTTTCACTTCCCCCCATGGAAGCTTTCACTTTGACGTTGTCACTGCTCTGTTCTTCATCACATATCTTCTATAGCTCGCATATGACCTCAAACTCGACATAGGGACTTGTGAGTGTTAATGCACCGAACGGCACTCCGTGAGGATTTTCTCAACAAGTTATCATCAATGTGTGGCGGAGGTTTCCAAAAGGGCTTGCGTTACCGATTAGTTTCCCCAATAGACCACTTTTTCGTAATTATAAACAGACTACTCACAGGTAGCATATAGTTTTTATCCACTACACAAGCATGAAAATATAAATTTTTATAAAGGAAACTATATAATTAAGATACAGTATAGCAAAACAGTTCTGACATTGATACAATTGTGAAATATGTTGTAAATAAGTAGCAATGTCATTAGTAAATAGTTAAATGAAAAAGTCAAATAACATTCTTTATTGCACTTCATTTAAATGTTCCCAAATCACGCCACCAACAGATCGTGTATCATTTTACAAGCTCCGTTCAATACCACTCCTAAAAGATTACAAATTCGTCTGTATGATAAACACATGTGCACGTATCCCACTGAACATGGGGGACGATATGCAGCCCACTGATCGCTGTAAACTACTGTTCCAGGTTGTACCCCTCATTGAATAATAGGTAGCAGTAAGTCGTCTGATTGGCTTTTAATTCTCTGAAAGCAGCATTTTCTAAGGTTGCGGTCCGACCTGGTATCAAAGTCACAAATTAAGACAAAAGAGGTAAAAATACACTTTTCAAATAAGAAAATTAATCAATTTTTGCCTTTAGAATATTAGGGAAAAATCATAATTACTTAAAAGTGACCGCTTTCAGAATGATCCAANTCCTGACTTCATTCTCTTTAAATAACACGAAATCAGGGAATATTCATGTTCTGGACGAAAGTGCACGTCGATTAGTGACTTTATCTATTTGATGACCCTGGTGCGGTTTGTGCGATTCAGTACTTTGAAGGCATCATTCATTAAGATGTATTACGCCATTTCAAACAAATGTTGTTTTATAGAGGTCTCAAGCTGCCTCTGAGCCACGGGGACGTCATGCACTTAAAATTTTTACCCACTGCTTTTTGAAGACAAACCGGAATCTGTTCGGTTGGTAGATAATATGGTTGCCTCTCGAGAGGTTTATACGATTAGGTTAGAAACATTTTCTAACTCCTATTTTTAGAAGGGAGCATAACCTTAGGAGATATGAGGTACAGTGGAGGTAAATGGGAAAGGGTGGGGTATTATGCGCGTCATGTAAGGCTGGATTAGTTTATATCATAACACTCGGGTTCGGTCATTAAGGGTTCAAATAATGGCCATTCTAAAAGGTCGCTCGTTCAATCCGGGTAAAAGTGCGAAAGAACTTGTGCCATTTTCGCACTCTGAGCGCACTGGAGTTGCATCATGTGAGCACTTTTGCTCGCAGGGTCTATCCTGCTTTGACAAACGATGGAGCGTCCGCTACCGACCTGATAAGGAGAGTTTGGTAGTGCCTTAACTACTACTAAAAATACAGTATTACGCTCAGAGGTGGTAAAACCCCGAGGATACACAGGGCATGTCGGTAATACTAATTTATTTATTCATGTTCATTGAATAAAAATTGTTGTTCGCAAATCGACGTTCATTTGATTTGATGAGGTGGAAACGGTAAATAAGGAGAATTTATTCATTGCGGTATAAACATGCGTGTTTTCAAGTGACTGACCCAAATACATGTCCATCTCTGAAGAGAACACACTTGGTGGTTTATTAATAATAGAAAAGCTGTAGCAGTAGTGTTAGTAGTTGTTGTGATTCTTGTGTGTGTGTGTGTGTGTGTGTGGAAGCAAACGGATCAATCGCTGTACAACACCGATTACGTACAAACAAATACCACTGACACGTTTCAACCTCAACACATTATGCAGATTAAAGCAGAGAAGTCATTTAAGTGAATTAAAATGTGAACACAGAAAAATGCACCATATGTTATCGCACAATCCAAGGTTTACTTCACAATTTGCGGAAAAAGCAGAGCACAGTTGAACAAATGGCATTGTGTTTCTCTATTTGTGTTTGACCGCGAAAGCTAGGAAAACAATCGTGTCCAGAACTGCCTCGCGAAGGACAAGTTGGTGCTCCATCTCATACCTCGCAGGTGTCAGTTAACGGCATGCGCTCAGAAAACAAATCCAAAAAGAAACAACTCATAGAAGCAAACGTAACTCATGACCGGTTAATTTTCAAATACATTGTGGGAGTGGCGGACAGAAGTTCAGGACAGAAGGGGGTAGAGGTCGAAGGACCGCGTCATGAGTAAATGTTGTTAACTTCACTCAAAAAGCACTAGTTCCAACAAAATGGTATCAGGAACTGCAATATTGTGTCTGCTATGCTCCCAGTTACCATTTGGAAAACAATCATTGAGGAATTGAAGTTGAGTATCTCAATGTCTTGCCATCGGAGTAATATTGATATCTTTTGATATTGGATGTTCAACCAGATATTTAAGAACAAGTTCTCTGCTTTCATCTGCAAAAGAAGAAAATGAAATGAATTGGAAAAGGGGAGAACGTTTTTAATTAATTTACTCGATTGGCTGATTTAGCTCGAGGATAGAAAAGTAAAAATACCCCTGTCTCTTCAAAAGTATCTTTGTTCTTTTATTGAAAAGATATTTTTAATTGATATTCTAGTGCTGAACTACGCTATATGGTTTCCAAATTGTGTCGTAATTTTTGCATAGGGCGACGGACTGGTAGAATAATACACACCAGGTGAATTTCATTATTGTACCCGAGCATGGGTAGATTCTAACCAAACCCTTTTACAAACTGAGAGAGCGATACATTTCAAAACTCATTCCTAATTGCCATCGTTGGTGAAAGAAAATAGCTTAAATGATCTGTTTGGTTTGTATTTAACCAAATCAAACGGCTGGTGTGAGAGGGAAAAACAAATAGTGATCCGTTATTCATTTCCAAACAGCTACGTCTATAATCGTGTCTGTTTATCTTCAGTGGCGAGGGTGGAAAAAACTACTTATGCAAATGGGAACGAGATCCCAATCGAATCTTAAGGGTTGGTTTGTTGAACGGTCAAATTTTTCAACTGCTGCTGAATAAAAGTTGGAAAAAGAATTGAATTAGTGCTCTCAATCAAGTCTGGTGCCAAATAATGATTTATAATCGATGGAATTGTTCGTACTATCTGAGGTGAGGCTAGATAGACGGTTTCTAAATCCAAGCGTCAACAGGGAGATCGATCAAATAGTCGAGTGCGCTGGAAGGAAAACTCCACCGGTGCTCCGCGCACACACGCAAATAGCAAACCTTATAGCACTGTTCGGGATAAAGCCTCTTTAACCTTACGCAGCATCAGTTGCCTTGAATTTTAACTTTAAAGGCTAATTTAATCAACCGATCGGTACTACAGTACTGTACGTCCTAGAACACAATCTTGTAGAAGGGCACATGTTCTCAGAACGGCTAATATCAACATAACAGGGCTCTACTGTGCGATAAAATATAACGATTTGAAGGAGCGGATGTGAAGGTAACTTATTCACGTGTTGTTTGTGAAATACGATAAGTTACCTAGGACTGTTGTCGTTACAGATTGCCAGTGTAACCCATATGCTACCATGTAATTGCTAGACCGCTTGTTTCCAATAGAGGTCTCGTATAAGTAGTATTAATAATTTATTGATTGGAGAACATTTTCCTGTTCTTTTCAATTTGACAAGCGTAAATTCCGTCAGGACCAGAAATATCTGGTTGCTGTCTTTTAGCCTCTAACAGTTGATCAAGTCGAAGCCACTGCGGTAAGCACTGATCACGTTTACGGATGCGTGAGCTAGTACTGCTCATTCTCTCGCTACGGCCTAGAGATTGGTGCCGGGAGGCTGGTAGTTTCACTGAGAGTGGTACGTTTTTCCCCAGGATAGTTATCTTTATCCTTTGCTATCAGCAAAGTTATACAGACACGGGGAGTGAGCATCTGCATGGTTGCCACCCTTGAGAACTCTAAATGACCGTCCATGAAAACAGAAGAGTGAAAGAATGAAAGGTGATGGAACTGACATGAGAAAAATGTGAGCCACTGTGGCCAGATAACCAAGAATTCGATTGATTCACACCCAAGTGATTCTGACACTGTCAGGGGATAAACACCAAACCTCACTCGTTAGGGCATTAACTGGTGAACGCACAGGATAAACCTTTGATGAACTGAGGGTTTCATTACAGGAGGATGGCAAACCGTGTGCTATACAGTGAATTCTTTAGTTCCTGATGGCTATCATACAACTAAAATGATGACTTTTTAGCTGACAGAAAAAATCATCACCAACTCACATGGTCCTAGTTTGACATCCCACTCGACCATTTTCAGTTTATTAATTCGAACAGGCTTGGTCGGATCGTATCTTTCGGGGTGTTTAATTGGTGGTTCCAGCAATTGCACCTAATGAGTAGAAAACAAAATAAACAGTACTGAAGATGCAATGCATATTTATCATACTTGTGTGCGTGGGTGTGCGCACGAGACCGTAGTAACATGTGATTATCACATTTGACAATGCGGCAGATGACTAACTTCAAACTTTTGTAACCGGCAAATCTAACATACTCCAGATGGAGGCAACAAATTTTGAGTGAGATTTTGATCTTACAACTGGAGCTATTATGCCAGCCCTCGAATTGGAATAAGCACCCTCTCCCTGTCCCCAAAGAAAAGGACCCAAAACCGATGATCGAGGTGTATTGTATGAAGGAGGTGAATGTAGCTGTGAATTCAGCATTGAGCAACCGTTTAGATTGTGTCTCCAGCTTGGTAGTCGAATATTCGAGCACCAGTTCGTCTTCATATTTTTTGATTCAGAATTATCTCATCCGGTCATCCTTAGCCGACTTTATCGTAAGAGGTCACTCCATCTGTATCATGTAAGGTCGACCAGCTCCACGTGCGTACCGAAATCGCTAACTTCAATCGTTTGTTACCCCGGGTGAGACTCACCACATGGATAAACGATTGTTCGACGCGTGAAACATGGTCTCCACACAATGCTGAAGGTAAAGCGGGAGACCAAAACAAAGACTGTAGGTAAGCACAGAATGCAGTAACTACAAACGTTGCCTTGAACGCTCAAGGTGGAATTGTGCCAAGACTCAGTGGAACAAGAATGCTGAACAAGTTAGTGGTGGCATTAACCTTCAGACACTGGAGCTGGTTGTCGCACTCCATCGGGTTCATCCGATTACGTCTGACTGATTATCTAACGCATGTAATGAACTTCAAACCCAATCAATGATTTAAATTTATTAACTCTTGTTAGTTTAAGATATAAGGGATGTGTGAGTCTAGAGACAGAAACTCCCAACAAACATATTTTGTAACCGACGTTCTATTCTGTGCTCCCAGTGACCTCATTCGAGTCCTAAGCTGGATCGAATATGGGTTGACCCAGCAAAGCTTTTATGAAAACCCATACATTGGTGTGAGTTATGACCGATTCATGACCTTAATGGTAGCACTTAAAGAGCAAGATAAACCTTTCCTTGGATAGAATACGTAAAGAGGCCTTGAAATTTAAAATGAAAATGTCTGTCGATGAAATAATTGGCACAAACAAAAAGCTATTTCGAAAATCCTACAAATCATCTATTACACCTGAAGAGTAGAAAAATTACGATTTGTCTCAGTGCTTTCGATAATATGACCTTGAAAAGACATGCGGATAGGAAAACTAACCTTGACTTTGTCTTCGGTGCAAACTGGGAGTTGATCAATCACAAGGATGCACAAGCTTCTCGGGTAGGTGTTCGTCACACAAATAACTTGAGTGAATGTGATCGACATGGTCTTTCCTCCTATGTAAGACCCAGTCTTTTTGTACTTGTGTCTTGGTTTGTAGGTGATATGAACTCCGGAATCAATACCAAGATTGCAAACAAACTCTTCTTGTACCACTGTGGCCGGCAAGTTCGTCTTAAAGGAAGATCAGTTTCCAAAACAAGCGAATTATGAATTAAATATGTCGTTTTGAATACATTGCATTCAAAAAAGTGTGAATTTGGGGCGGAGCAAACTATAGTTGTCTTGTTGATTGGTTCAAAGAATAGTGATAGCCTTCACATAGAGTAATCACAAGAATACTAATGGTACTTTTTTAATTTAAATGAGTTAGTTTGCACATGATACAAATATCTAAAAGCCCTCAAAATTTTATTCTCACAAGAGTGGCAATGGTAACCCAATGAATCTGTGATAATTAGAACCCATCAGAGTATGATCAGTGCAATGATTCACTCGTATTGTTTTCGCAACGAGCTTGCCTAAAGAACCATTCTGAGGTACAGTCAATATCCTGCTATGTCGCACCCCTGAGAAGACGCATTTTCCAATATTCTCCTACATTTTCGAAAACCCAAGCCAATCGTAAGCCTGATAGCGTAGTTTCTGACTATGCGATGTCGAACCCCCCCCCCCTGAATGTTGCA